TCTGCTACTGATGGCTTGGTGCAAGATACCACAGCTTAACCCCTTGGCACCGGCGCCACCCGGCCCTTTAAGGGTTTCAGAAGCCAGGAGGCGGAGTGGGATTTTAGGGTCATGTGACTGCTGTCACGGCAGTCACATGATCGGGAAAGGTCCTGATCGCAAGTGGAGATTGGGACCTTTCCGTGAGTACCGGACATGTGTGCTGGAAGCGTGCAGGGAGCGTGCTCTCAGCACATATGTTTTTCTTAATTGCACGCAAATGTGCGGCCGCTCGGTGTCAAGGCCCAGACGCCAGGAGGCCACACATTTGCATGCTGCCTGCACCAAGAGGTTAATTTCAAAGGTCTAGTGGTGTCCATGTCTTGGAGGGTCGGGGCTGTTTTGTCAAATAAGGGGGGTATACTCAATATTATGTGGGTGGTCATAAAGTTATGGCTGATTGGTGTATATTGCAGAGAACAAACTCTTCTTGTTTTGAACACATACTCCTGCTCAAGACCCGTGAGAGCCTTTACTACTTTCTATTTATCCACTGGACACTATGCGGCCAGTGACTTCTAATGGACTTTATTAGAAGCATATATTGATATAATATATCCAGAAAAAGATCACGAATAGATGAGCATGGAGTAGGATTTAAATGGATCAATGAAGTATATCAAAACATTTTTTAGCAGGGCTGAATAAACTCAGTTTCATGACTCCAGCTGCTGTACCCACAGGAATGAGGAAACCCTGTTTTGTTTGAATGTTAGAAGTTATTCTGTATACTTATCTACGTCACATAAAATTAAAGTGAAAAATTATGGGCACCACAAAATACAATGCAACTGTTAATATTCCTTCATGTCTTACAGCCCCTCGGAGAGTTGATGTGGAACATGAATGGTCTGGTGAATGTCAGGGCAGTTTGTAAGTTCTAATCCTGATCTTCAGCGCACTGTAGATGTAGTAAAATATATAGTAATAATTTCCTGAGGCAGGGTAATATATAAGGAATGTCAGGCCAAGCTGCAGACTTGCCTTAACTCCAGCTTAATGTAGTGAAACTTTTATGAAGGCATGTGTTAAATTGGGAATACGTGTGATTCTTTTCATTTTTTTTGACCCATTACCACGTCAACAACAAGCTGCACAATAAAATGTTAGTACATTATAATTCTACATGGATGCAGGATTCAGAATTCAAAAAAAAAAATAACACAAAAGCTGACAGTGTCATGCAAAATCATGCATGAAATTGTTCAAGAAAATAAAAAAAACCTTATGTAAAAGCTTAGCTGCTGATGGCATTCGGGGTCCATTCCACACATTACCGCAATGCACATTAATGCATGAACCCCCATACGGTGCATTGTGATACCGTTCATTTAAAATGACACCCCAGCAAAATGACAACAGCAGAAGCAGGATAGCGCAACACATTGCATAATGGTTGCCTTCTATTGTAGTTGTGCATTCATGTGTCATTCTAAATGGATACTTTTAAAACATGGTCATGTCTAGTTGTGCTGCCAGCCAATTTAAAATGAATAGGCTGCCTTGTAGGCAGGTGCAGTCTGTACTCCCCACTGTATGTGGCGCTTGACCAAAGAGGCAATATAGAAGGGGAAGAAAGTCTTGGGTAACTTAATTCCTCTATAATTTCCTTAGTCACCTGGGAGTAGCTGTCTGATTGGATGCTAATCTCCAGGTGACCTCCGTGGCCATCTTGGGCTAATCTCCTGGTGACCTCCACGGTAATCTTGGCCAACTGATTTGGTGCTCATTTGCCAAGTAGGGACAGGTTTCCTGTCTGTCAGAGAGAGTGCTTAGTGCTAGAGAAAGGTTCCAGAGGAGTAGGGAAAGTGCCAGGACTACTTCTACCTCCTGGGAGCAACTGCTCTATTATGTTGGACTGGCCAGGCCACACTTCCACCCTCTCTGCAGACACTGTCAGTATCACTCAAGCCATGGGATTACTGCTGAGTCTTGTAAGTGACACCGGACGTCTGTGCTCACCCACTTGGCCTGGCTGTACCTCATTGGAGCATTTTCAATATATCCAGTTCACTGCACTCTGCGTTCTCTACTGCTGCCAAACCACACTACACCCTGCTCTCAGCCTTAACACACAGTAGTCTGTATAAGCCCTCAAAGATATATATGCAAACAAGCCACACATATAGAAAATATATTTCTTAGTGAAACACAGAATAGCATTTTGAAACACTGGGTTATACTGCCACCATCAGAAGAGTGGACACTGGTAAAGCAAAGCCAAAAGACAGCTTAGTGTAACCCCTCCCACGCCCAGCAGCCATTTTTGCTATCGTCCTTAAGAGAACACATACAGTGACTATAAAGAGTCTACACACCCCTGTTAAAATGTCAGGTTTCTGTGATGTAAAAAATGAGACAAAGATAAGTCATTTCAGAACATTTTCCACCTTTAATGTAACCTATAAACTGTACAACTCAGTTGAACAACAAAACTGAAATCTTTTAGGTGGAGAGAAGTAAAACTAAAAAACTAAAATTATATGGTTGCATAAGTGTGCACATCCTTAAACTAATACTTTGTTGAAGCACCTTTTGATTTTATTACAGCACTCAGTATTTTTGGGTATAAGTCTATCAGCATGGCGCATCTTGGCTTGGCAATAGTTGCCCACTCTTCCTTGCAAAAATTCCAAATCTGTCAGATTGCGAGGGCATCTCCTGTGCACAGCCCTCTTCAGATCACCCCACAGATTTTTGATCGGATTAAGGTCTGGGCTCCAAAACTTTAATCTTCTTCTGGTGAAGCCAATCCTTTGTTGATTTGGATGTATGCTTTGGGTCGTTGTCATGCTGAAAGATGAAGTTCCTCTTTATGTTCAGCTTTATAGCAGAAGCCTGAAGGTTTTGTGCCAATATTGACTGGTATTTGAAACTATTCATAATTCCCTCTACCTTGACGAAGGCCCCAGTTCCAGCTGAAGAAAAACAGCCCCAAAGCATGATGATGCTGCCACCAGCATGCTTCACTGTGGGTATGGTGTTCTTTTGGTGATGGACAGTGTTGTTTTTGTGCACCAAACATAACTTTTGGAATTATGGTCAAAATGTTGAACCTTGGTTTCATCAGACCAGAACACATTTTCTCACGTGCTTTTGGGAGACTTCAGATGTGTTTTTGCAAAATTTAGCTGGCTTGGATGTTTTTTCTTCATAAGAAAAGGCTTCCATCTTGCCACTCTACCCCCATAGACGAGAAATATGAAGAGCACAGGAGATTGCTGTCACATGTACCACACAGCCAGTACTTCCCAGATATTCCTGTAGCTTTTTTAATATTGCTGTAGGCCTCTTGGCAGCCTCCCAGACCAGTTTTCTTCTCGTCTTTTCATCAATTTTGGAGGGACGTTCAATTCATGGTAATGTCACTGTTGTGCCATATTTTCTCCACTTGATGATGACTGTCTTCACTCTGTTCCATGGTATATATAATGCCTTGGAAATTCTTTTGTACCCTTCTCCTGATTAATTCCTTTTAACAGTGAGATCCCTCTGATGCTTTGGAAGCTCTCTACGGACCATGGCTTTTGCTGTAGGATGTGACTAAGAAAATGTCAGGAAAGACCTACTTGAACAGCTGAAGTTTATATGGGGTTAATCAGAAGCACTTTAAATGATGGCAGGTGTGTACTGACTCCTATTTACCATGATTGTTAATGTGCTTATTTAATTCTGAACACAGCTACATCCCCAGTTATAAGAGGGTGTGCACACTTATGCAACCACATTCTTTTAACTTTTTATGTTTACTTCCCCCACAAAAGGATCCAGTTTGTTTTTCAATTGAGTTGTACAGTTTATAGGTCACATTAAAAGGTGGAAAAAGCTCTGAAAATTATATATATTTGTCTCTTTTTTTTACATCACAGAAACCTGACATTTTACCAGGGGTGTGTAGACGTTTTATATCCACTGTATCTTCTCTCTGCTCTGAGAGAAGCAAAATCTTCTTACTTTTTATTTTAAAAAAATGTTTTTCCTAGCAGATTCTTCAGTTGCTTCAGAATCACAGGGACTCACGGTTGCAGCCAGGGGCGGACTGCCCATTTGGAAACTTGGGCACTGCCCGAGGGCTCGGGGTCAGTAGGGGGTCCCATGAGATGCCCCTGGTACCTTTTTCATAGGCTTTTTGTGAGTTTGGGCAAGGACACAGGGGCCCCATGATCACCTATTGCCCGGGGGCCCCATGAGTTGTCAGTCCGCCCCTGGCCAGAACTAACTCTTGAGGGAGTCTATTCCACATTTTCCCAGCTCTCACTGTGGAGAAACCTTTCTGTGTTTGGAGATTAACCTATTGTTTTTTCTTTGTGTTTCCTTCCCAGTTAGTCTTTCATTTGGTGTTGCCCATCCATCAGAAGGACTGCTTCTGGACATCCTAGTATTTCAGAATACTATCATGTGTCCCATAATGTATGGCAAACAAAATAGGATTTTTTACATACTGTACCTGTGTGAAACCCTTTTGTGGAGTTTTCAATTTCCCATCTCCTAAAGGTGGCAGTGTAACCCAGTTTTTCAGAATACTTATCTCTATCCTGTAATGTACCCCAAGAAAAGGATTTTACAGGTAAGATAAAAATCCTATTATTCAATTTTAACCTCCCTATCGGTATGATTATGTCAGTGTTTCTGTGCTCAAAGTGGTACATTTTTTTGCATGAAAATATGTATTTTTTTTATTGTAGACCTGTAATTTTTAGGAATAACTCATTGAAATCTGTCCGAACAAGAGTCTAGTAAACATCCCGGGTATGATAAAATTTGAAACACGAAATCATAAATTATAATATAATAAATAATCAGAAAAAATAATAATATAATAATCAATTTAATTCAATAATGTAATCAAAGCAAAAACATTAAAATTTGAAATAGAGCGCCAAGTTCGCACATCACTGAGCTTAGTCACAAAATCGTTTTCAGTGTCTGATGACGAATTTCCCCACAAATCATTATCACTCAATTCTGCAAGTGGTTCTGATTTACTATCGCTGTTCTCTAGCTGGTCTAAAACCGCTTTTGACCTAAAGGGACGCTTTTTGGACGCCATGGACATTTCTCAATTTCCAGGCAGAAAGAACAGTCAAAATGCAGGCAGGGCACAGGACAAAGCACTAGGGACAAAATGTATGTGAAATGCTTTGATACAGTAATGTTTTACTTTCAGATTTTAGTGTATTGAGTGAATGTCACTTTTAAAATTTTTGAATTTCCTGCTGGTTCCGTCCCCGTATGTTCCGACGCTCGCAGGGACTAGAACCCAGAAGACGGATGCTGGCCTTGGCTGGAGGAGATGGCCGGGGATGCTGCAGGGGGGACATCGCAGGAGCGAAGGACAAGGTAAGTGCAAGAGGGATCCTGGAGCAACGCTGCGGGGTTACCACTTTTGGTACTGAAAGTTAACCCCGAGCTGCACTCGGGAATACCAGGGGGGTTAATCTATCTTTGGATTGCCTTTTTGCGTGGTGCTAGCAGCCCATTTATCCTAAAGGGGCTTAAAGTGAATCTCTGCTTTGTCTATGAAAAGTCACCTAAATGCAGTCCTCCACAGAACACTTTTAATTAACTTTCTTTGCCCCCCCCCCGCCCCCTGCTCCATTTACTCACCAACAATGAAAGGAAAGTCTTGTCTAAGGTACCAGTCAGTGGAGTGTGATTGGCTCAGAGCTGTCACATGGAGTGAGTCACATGCTCCACCATTAGCTTAAGTACTGCATGGAAGATGGGCGGATAAACGGGAGTAAAAAAGGGTAAGTATGTGCTGCTGGGGTTTGCAAACCTGTTGTTGTAAGTGGTTTTTATACCTCGCTTCAGTTTTTTCTCTCTTTTTTTTTACTAGAGTTCTTTTTTAAACCTTTAACATATGTATACATTAACATCATTAGAAATTCTTTTGTGTAAACCAACTTGTAATGTGTGTTTAGTGGCCCTTTAAGGAAAGCTCTACAGTTTATGCAGAATTTTATGAGTAACCCCAAACGCCTCGGAGAATTCTCTGTATATTCCAAAGAATCATAAATCTATGAAATGATTTAAAAATACCCCCTTGCCTGTTTTGGCAGCCCCATACATTTTTATGAGACTCCAAATATATTAAAACTTGTTAAACTGTGAAACAATGATACCTGGAAGAACTGAGCTGAGAACAAAAGATTCTGGAAGCTATAAGGTACCCTTGCAGAGTAACAGTCTCCTGAATGTCTGTTCATATTTAGGAACTACTACAGAGCCTTGTGATTTTGCAAGATACCATGAATGAGAGATAGAACTCACACGCAGACAATAAGATAACAGGTTTAAAGAGTCTTTGTCACATTGTCCATTCTTGGCAAAGTAACAGATTCTTTTGTAAAAAAAAAAATAAAAAACCGACTCAGTTATATTTATCTTCCTCTATTGAAACTAGGAGTTTAAACCCAGTGTTGGATTTCATATGTGGAAGACCTGGGTATGTACTGACTGAAGACTCAAAGAAAGCAATGGAACAGTAGGTGAGCATGGCAAAAGCAAGTGCCATGTCCTTACAAAGAAACATGTCACTTTGTCCTGAATGGGAAAAGTGACAAATCTTCTTTAACCACTTCCTGTCCGGACACTTTTTACCCCCAATTTCCTGCTATCCAGGGCAATTTTACCATTTTTTTAGACAGATAAAGCTTTATTTTGGTGGTATTTATTCACCGCTGGGATTTTTATTTTTTTGCTATGTAAATGAAAAAGTCCAAAAATTTTGAAAAAAAGTGTTTTTCTTATAAAATTTTGCAAATAAATAATCTTTCATCATAAATCTTGGCTGAAATGTATTCCATTATCTTTTTAGTAAAAAAAAAAATAAGCCAAATTAGTTTATAACCAAAAATGATAAATTTTAAACATTTTTTTACATTTTTATTTTATTTTTTTATATTATTATTTATGGGTTTTTTTTTTTACATACTGTCACCCTAGCAGTACAGTTTCACCATGTGGTGACACTGTACTACTTGTGGGGGGTGATGAAGATTTTTTTTTTTTTTTTTTAACAGTGATTGCTTTTACACCCATATAGGATGTAAAAGCAATCATTTCTCTTTCTCTCTGTCTGCATTCTTGCAGCCATTGAGAAATACTGAGTGAGCTGTGATTGGTCACAGCTTGTCACATGGTACAAGGCTGTTGTGAATAGCCTTGTACCAAGTGACCTCTGTGATCATTCCGATTTCACACGTAGTAAGCAATGATGTCACAAGTGACATCTTGCTTACTACTTTGCATGTCATCACTGATTGGCCTATCAGTGATTACATGATCTTGACCTCGTACAGAGGTCCCGTCCGACGATCGGTGTTTCACTGTGTCCGGAGGACACAGCGGGCACCGGATCGCGGTGCTGCGCGCTCCCAGATAGCACGCACAGCTAGAAATGGCGGGTGCCGTTTATGAACGGCAACCCGCCCCTGGAGTGCCACCGTCCTGCCGTTTTAAAACAGCAGGCGGACGGCAAGTGGTTAAGGAGAACTCCATGATGGACTTTGTTTTGCCTCCAGCTGGGGAATATACATTATTATGCCTGTCCTGCCTACAATATCAAATTTGACCACTAGATGGAGCCAGTAATAAATGTACTGTTTTACAGAAACTATAGACTGTTTAAATAAGAGTTAAAATGTTACTAAACCCAGGACCAGGGGTGGACTGACCATTAGGCAACTCGGGCACTGCCTGAGGGCCCGGGGTCAGTAGGGGGCCCCATGAGATGCCCGTGGTACCTTTTTCATAGGCTTTTTTGAGTTTGGGCAAGGACACAGGGGCCCCATGATCCCCTATTGCCCGGGGGCCCCATGAATTGCCAGTCTGCCCCTGCCCAGGACCCTGCATTCACTATATCTGGTCTCCCACAGTACGCAGAACATGGAAATGCAATTATTTTAGTAAATATAAACTGCTAAATACCTTTTCTCATCAGTAGTTACAGCAGTCTTGTGACTCCTATCTGTGTCCAGCCCACTAGCTAAAGCTTGTAGGAGGAGTTTTTTTCTGCTCTAGGAGGATGGAAGTCTCCTGACCTCTGTCTGGACAGTGCTGATCACATGCACTCTCCCAAGAAAAGAAAAGAACCTCTTTAGCAATACACACCAAGCTGAGCATGTGCATGCCTATGGTTCAGTCCGGAAATAAAAGGTGGTCACTTTAAAAAGTGGAGGAACAGAGAAGAAAGGATCAAACAGCCTTTTTACACAAAGCAGAGGATTAACCCCTTAGGTTCCAAAGTGTGTATAAAAAGTATGCTTTACTGCATATACTGACTGATTTTACTGTTGTGGGTTTAGTAACACTTTAAGAGTTAATACAAATTCTCATAATTCTGAGAGAAAGGAAAGACATGCATCTTGGGAGCCTAGACTCCATCTTAGAAACTGGGAGAGAAGGAGCACATGTTGGACTAAAATGTGCATCCTTTGCAACCCCTAAAGGCAGCAATTCTGGTGAGAATCACTTATCACCATCTATAGCCTAACTATTCCTTGTGTTTTCTGTATGTTCTTACATTGATTGTATGAATTTCTTGTTTTTTTCTTAATACTTTCACCCACCCTGTTTTGTTAAAAAAGCTTCAAGATTACATTCAGTCTGGCTTATTGCAGAATAGGAGGGTTTAGCTGCATGTTGAGTTACACACAGGGAAATGTGTAGCGAGGACAGATCAGACTGGCAAATGTAATTCAATGACTTGTGTACAACTCCTCAGTGGTTGACTTAGAGACACACCTATAAATCTATATGTGAAATATAATGATGACAACTATGAAACATTGAGCTTGTAGAAATGTAAAAATAACTTCAAAATTAATAAGAAATATTTTTCGTATACTTAACCTTAATACCCAACTCCAGCAAAACATCATTCCCAAACCCTCTTTCACTCCCACCACCACTTTCCCACCTTCCCTGAATCTAGCTATATTTTTTTTTAACGTTCAAGAATGCATAAAACTCATTTGAACCACTATCACATGATCTCCAGGGTGCCATTTTTGGTAACTAATACTAGTACTCTAAAGCTACTTTTCGCTCTCTTCTCTAGTGCAGGCAACTGGTCTTGTGTTACTTGACGTCGCTGTTAAATGCTGCAGGACCCGGAAAGGACCCTGTGATTGACCCATCTGACAGACAATAAATGACACCCACATCACCAGTAAGCAATGTGAACAGTGGAAGGAAGACCAATGTTCCTCTTAGATTGTAATCTCCAAGGGACAGGGTCCTCCTAACCCTCTTATATTGAACTGTATCATTGCTGAATTGTCTCCCTTTATATTGTAAAGCGCTGAGCAAACTGTTGGCGCTATATAAAACCTGTATAATAATAATGGTATTAAAATATTTGGGGCGTTTGGATTTTTTTTTGTTAGAAAAACTCTAAAATGGGTAATAAGAGTTGGCATGTGAAAGGGTTTTTTTTAATCTTCCTAGATAAGATAATCTTTAAAAGCTGAACTATAAAAACATTGTTTAATCAAACTATATATATTTGAATATGAATTAAAAAACATTGTTGAGCTAGCATTTCTGCTTGAACCTGACATAATACCACAGAAGAGCCCGTGAAGCCCTGGCTGCAGAGTTGGACTCACTTTCCACCTCTGTTACCGAGAAGGCCCTGCGTTGAACTAAACATTAATATTATAGCTGTGGTAATAAACCTGGACCGATGCTTGCTAGGAAACTTACCTTCGCTAGGAAAACCATTTTGGCCTGTCCGACTGCGTCTGTCTACGAGAGGCTGTACATCCAACCCCCAGCAAATTATATTGGTCTTCGCTGGCTTCCTCTCACAGCTCTACGCTAAACCTGACCCTTTCCCTCTGGATCAAGCAGAATCCTTTCATGATCTGAAGTTTCCCTCACTATCTGAAGCAGCATGCTCTAAATGCTAGTATTACTGAAACTGAGGTTCTCCAAGCCATCAAGACCTTGTGTCCCTCCATGGCCCCAGGCCCGGATGGCATTTCTGGCCTTTATTATAAGAATTTTTCTATGCTTCTGGTGCCTCACCTAATTACTTTAATGCCTTAAAACAGGGCTCTTTGCCCTTCACTGACGTGCAAAGAGCCCATATGTCCATGATCCCTAAAAACGTGGAAAACACATTGAAACCTCAGGCCTTTCGGCCTATCTCCCTACTGAATGAAGATTTGAAGATCTTAGAGAAGGTTCTTAGCCGTCGTATTAACAACTATCTTTGTCGCCTAATTCATAGGGACCAGGTGGACTTCGTTCCCAGATGGCAGGCTAGCAACAATATTCGCAAGGTGATCCACCTCATTCCTTTTTCTTCATC